AAAGAAATCGCTCCAGAAACAGTCTCCCAAACCCAGAGAGAACACTGAAAGCTGACCAGTGCCAGGATCTGAGTACTAAAACACAGAGATTCCAACTCCGACACCCTCCCTGGTGGGTATACTTACAGTGGGGGTGTCACCATGCCATTTCTCAGCATCCAACATATAAAAATGAAAGGGACACCAGTTTTCAACATCACTGTCCCTCTGAAACAACTGGTTGTCAATTAGCGTTTGTCGGCAGCAAAAGTCGATTTTCTCCCCTGCACGTGGAGGTCAACACACAGAAGAGACTGATGATCCCCACTGCGAGTGTAGCTAAGTGTGTCTAAGCAAACTGGCTCCATCAGCCTCCTGATGAGCAGGGGAGTGTGTGAGCCGCGGGGCTCTGCAGACTGATGGCCAGGCAAGGAGGGCACTTCCTTACTTTGGGGAGAAAAACGCGGAAGCAACACTCGCTGGAAATAAATTCTAATTAAAATTTCAGGTGCGATTCCTGCAGCGTAACCCATGCCAATAGATGAGGATCCCTCCGTGCTGCCCAGTCATGTGAGCCAGGCTCATTATTATACCTGTGTGTTTGGTTTAGCAAGTGAATCATGTCTGTTTTCTGGAAATGACATGAGGGCGGAAAACCTTCAAAACATGTTCTTTTATTTGCTGTGGAATTTGTTTAATCCTCTTAAGAGCACTTACAATGACAACCTTCTTAAATACAATGACAACCTTCTTAAATAAGCATCTTTGCCAAGAGACCTTTCCAGGCACATGCGCCGAAACCTAGGACTACCCAGAAGCAAAATCAAAACCGTTTCAGCTGCACAGCACCGCAGAATGTGTCCAGTTTGAGAATCAAGGATTTTTTCTTCCACAACCTTTTACTCTTCTGCCCAAATTAATCAGCCACTGCTGCTCATGTATACTGAGTATCATATGACTCATCTTCTCTTCCTGTAAAATGGAAATGGGAGATACTTCTACCCAATAAAATTTCATAGAACTAACCACCGAAATTATATATATTAAAAAAAATCCAGGGCTTTATGCTGTCCTGGGTTATGAATCATTTATTTAATGTGTCAATTGCTACAAGAATAAACATTTCTAAATGTAAAACCTCCTCAGAAATCTTCAACTACTATTCAAGAAAAATATCTCGGAAAATTTCTGAAAAGTATTTAAAGTAAAATCATTTTTAACTGAATCATATTCTAGGCACACTGAATAAATTCTCTTTAGAGAACTCCTAGTTTTTTTTTAATAAATGACCTATAAAAATACACCCAGCATTAATCAGTAAATCTTCATTCCTTATTTTT